TCCTTGTCATCAAGAGAGTTGATAATGATAATTTTGCAACAGTTAGTCCATTCCTTATTTCTAAGACCATAAATGGTATAATAGGAGACCCTAACTCTGTTAAAAAGATTAAAGCTGGCATATTGGTGGAAACAAAAACAGATGCCCAGTCTCACAGACTCATAAGAATACAGCATTTTACAGATATTCCTGTCACAGTAGAAGCCCACCCAACGCTAAATTCTAGCAAAGGGGTCGTGTACTGCAAAGACCTCTTAAATTGCCCTGAAAGTGAAATTCTCGAGGAACTGAAATCAGAAGGAGTAATACATGTACAGAGAATTAGAGTCAAGAGGGACAATGAACTGCGTGATACACCAAATCACATAATCACATTCAACTCCCCCAGATTACCATCGAAACTTAAATGCGCTATGTATAAACTTGATGTTCGGCAGTATATTCCCCCACCAGTACGCCTGCTTTAGATGCCAACGGTACGGCCATACGTCATTGTCTTGCCAAAATGAACAGGTATGCATATGTGGAAAGGAGTTACACATGGGAAAGACCATGTGATCGCCCGGTACAAGTGCCTAAATTGTCATGGGCCTCACGTGGCTTCATCGAAGGAATGCCCAAGATACAAAACAGAATTGGCTATTCAGAAACTGATCGCTACTGACAAAATAAGTTATATTGAGGCCAAGAAAAAGGTGGTGGTGCATACTCCACAACCAAACGTGTCGTATGCACAAGCCACGCAAAAGAGCCAGGATGATGATATTATCGAAAAGATCATCCCACGTCTGACTAATATCATCCAATCTTCGATTTCTCAAGCACTGAAAGGCAAAGACTTTCCATGAAATTGAGCAACCTCAATTCGTTACACCTCAGCCAAAAGTATCACATAGCTTGTCTCTTAGAAACCACAGCCAATCAGATGCCTCTAATCAATCAAAAAGAAAGGCATCCTCACCTGTTGATGGGTCAGATCTCTCTGATGCAAGTCTAACGTCATCTCAGACCGACGACCCAGAATCCAGAAAAGGCAAGCGCGGCTGGCCGAAGGGTAGACCCCGAAAGAGGGCTGCTCCAGCTCAAACCAAGCCAGATCAAATCAACGCAAGAACTAATACTGCGTCTTGTGGACAACCTAATGCTTCAAACCCCACAATCTGGGAGACAACCAGATTTGGAAGCGAACCTAACTGTGATGAACCTGTGATAATAGATAGTTAAAATTTTAATATTTAATTCTATGTTAATTTATCACCTTAATTTGATATTTGTTTACTTGTCCATGTATTTATATATTTATTTAACATTTACTTTTACATTATTTTCTAACTTTTGGGATAATTTCTCCATATTGTAATTGTAGGAGTTAAACTTTTTAGTACAATATGCAAAACATAATGCAATGGAATTGCAATGGTTGTGTGTCTCATGTGAATGAACTTCGTGTGATGGTTAGGGAGAACGATCCTTTCTGTATTGCATTACAGGAAACCCACTTCCGTCCAGAGACATTTTTCTCTCTTAGAAACTACAATACTTTACCGCAAGGATGTCATACCAGACCGCAGAGCACGAGGTGGTGTGGCCTTACTCGTAAAGCAGAATATCATAGCGCAGGAACAGAGACTGGATACGGAACTTCAAGCTGTCGCAGTTCGCATCACAACGCCATTTGCTGCTACATTGTGTAGCTTATACTTACCTGATGGCGATTGGCATATTGATCAGTTGTACAGGCTTCTATCAGAGCTTCCCAAGACCATTATTTTGATGGGCGATTTTAATGCGCACTCACCTTTTTGGGGATCTATGCGCAGAGAGATCCGGGGACGAACTATAGAGGAATACATTGATTCATCGAACTTAGTTCTATTGAACTCAGGATCTCCTACACACGTCGATATCAGAACAGCTGGATCCTCTGCTATAGATCTCTCACTATGCTCACCACAACTGGCTACTAGATTATCCTGGAAGGTCTTAGATGATCTCAATTTTAGTGATCACTTTCCAATCATCATAACAACGGATGTCCCCAAACTTTTCTATCCGTCACATAAAAGATGGTTGACCTGCGAAAGCTGATTGGAACACATTTTCTGAGCACCTTCGTATCCCTCCTCTAACTGAAGACATTAATATAGCAGTGGACGATATCACAACACGCTATAACAGATGCAGCAAAGATTAGCATTCCCATGACATCCGGGACCTCATCTAATAAAGCTGTGCCGTGGTGGAATGAAAACATTCAGAATGCAGTCAACGAGAAGAAAAACCGCTCTGAATAGATTCAAGCGCAACCCAACCATGGCCAACATGATCTCTTTCAAAAACTACGTGCTAAAGCACGAAGGCTCATAAATGAGAGCCAAAAGAAATCATGGGAAACTTATGTCTCGTCCATAACTTCTGAAAACACCTATCAACAGATGTGGCAAAAGATCAATGTTATTGCAGGCAGGAATCCGTTTAGACCCCAAGCGCTTTGAAGGTAGCTAATTCGGTAATCGAGGATGTTTCTTGCATATGCGACACGTTTGCAGACCAGTTTGAACACGCTAGCAGCAATGCAAATTATGATCCCAACTTTCAGCAGCTCAAAACTAAATTCCGAAGCACAGGGAATCAATTTTGACACATCGGAACTACATCTATACAATGCACCATTCTCATATGAAGAACTCGAGTCTGCCTTAGAGAAACTGTAAAGACTCTGCACCGGGTATAGATATGATACCTTACTGCATGATTCGAAACCTTCCAAGGTCTGTCAAAACTCAGTTACTACAGATATTCAATAATGCGTGGGTGCGAGGTATATACCCTGATGCCTGGAAGGTTGCCATTATAGTACCCATTCTCAAAGACGGTAAAGACCCTACCTTCACCTAACAGCTATCGACCTGTGTCGCTAACCTGCTGCCTGGGAAAACTCTTTGAAAGAATGATAAGTCTTAGACTAGTATGGTACCTAGAACATAACCAGCTGATCTCAAACAATCAGGTCGGCTACAGGCAGTACCACTCCACGGTAGATTGCACTCGTAAATCTTGAAAATGCAGTCCAGGATGCATTCATTAAAAGGCAACACCTAACGGCAGTCATGTTTGACCTGGAAAAAGCGTTCGACATGACCTGGCGCTTTGGTATTCTGAAACAGCTCCACGAATGGGGTCTTCGTGGCAATCTCCCAAAACTTATCCAAAATTTCTTGTCTCATCGCTCATTCCGAGTCCAGGTCGGAGACTCCAGGTCCTCGACAAGGAGGTTGGAAAATGGCGTTCCACAAGGATCCGTTCTAAGTGTTTCACTATTCATCGTAGCCATTAACTTCCTGGTTGATAGCACTCCTCTCCGAACATTCAACCCCTCTTATATGTAGACGATCTCTGCATATTCTCCACCGCCGCACTTGATGGAAACTTTGACCATCTGCAGGATGAAATAAACAGACTAGACTGTATAGCAAGGGATAGAGGGGTATTCTTTTCAGCAACAAAATCGACGTGCATCCATTTTTGCAGACTTCGCACAGCACATCCGCAGGTCTCTCTCACACTGAGAGGACAAACTATAAAAGCTGAAAACTCTGTTAAGTTCCTGGGCATTATTTTTGACCACAAGCTCTACTGGAAGGATCAAATTGAACATCTCACAACTCGTTGTAGAAAATCCGTCAACCTGATCAAATGCATAGGAAATACCCGATGGGGTTCAGACCGCGAAGCTCTCATAAAGGTTTACAAGAGCCTAATCGAGTCTCGAATTGACTATGCCAGAGTTGTTTACAATTCTGCAAGACCATCCAAGATCAAGGCACTTGAAAGGATTCAACTGGCAGCCCTAAGAGCGGTTACAGGGGCTTTTCGTACGAGTCCTTCAAGTGCCGTCCTCTGTGATGCTGCAGCAATAACCCTTACAATTAAGAGGTGAAATGCAAACTGCCATCTATATGACTAAAATAAAATCTCTTACCAGACATATTAACCTGAGTATATTGGAAAGCGATAACGAACACACAAATCGTCCAACGTATACACGTCCAGCCAGAATCCGTAGCCTTGAATTCCAACAAGCGAACAACATATCAATAAGGGATGTGCTGCAGAGAGCCCCATACGACACTCCACCTTGGACTAGGTCAAAGCCACATATTGATATTCGCCTTTCTGTATTTCTTAAAAATGAGACAGCACCCCAGGTGTATCTCGCTCGTTTCAAACAAATTACAGATCACCTCCACGATCATCTCTTCATATACTCGGATGGATCTAAGAGCAGTACCGGAGTGGGAGCATCAATAGTAGTTAACAGTGTTTGCCACATGTGGAGCCTGGATCCGATTTCAAGTATTTTCACTGCAGAATGTTATGCCATCTGGCAGGCACTTCTATTCTTTGCATTGTCATCTAGCTTAGCGTGTTCGATAGTATCAGACTCTCTGAGTGTGATCAGCTCCATAGGAAATAACTTCACCAAGGATGAAAGAATAAGTCGAATCTTGAACTTAACCAGCTCACTAGAAAATGACCATAAAAAAGTCCGTTTCATATGGGTACCTAGTCATGTGAATATTATCGGCAATGAATTGGCTGATGCAGCGGCAAAGCAAGCAGCCACCATGCCACCGGATGAAGGCATTCCTACTCCGCTATCTGACTATGTAAAACACTTAAAAGACACTACAAAACAAGCATGGCAGCACAAATGGGACCTATATGACGGACACATGAGATCCGTCCAGACAAGTATCGAAAAATGGACTTATCCGAAGCAACTGAATCGTCGGCAGCAGACAGTCTTATGCCGACTACGAATTGGCCATTGTAAGTTGACCCATGCGTACCTGTTGGCCGGCGATCACAGACCACAATGTCTAGCATGTCAAACAGACCTCACTGTTCAACCATATTCTGGTGGAATGTCGACTCTACAGTGATCTCCGCAGGGAACTACAGATGTCTTCCAATATACAAACCCTGCTCAAAACGGAATGGCCAAAAGTTATGGATTTCCTGCTGCGCTCGATACATACAACCAAGATATAGATACTCCTATTTTCGTTACGCCTCCAGCCACTTCCACATCAACATTTTACGACGCATTCTCACCTACATCCCATACCTATCTGGTCTTACCTTATTATCCTTGTATCATACTGGACAGCTCTGAAAATAAAATGGTATACACGTGGATGTCACATCATTAGATAACTGAAGAGGCAGCTTAGCTATTAAAGATTCTCAGTCACATGCGGAGTAAATATTGAACTTGTCTGTATACTATACTTACTGTTATTTATACCATATATGTTTGTCCTGTGTCTTTCTATTTCCATCTCAGATCTACCCCTGAGATGTTAGGTTTGGAAAAAAAAAAAAAAAAAAATGACCTAATGAGGCAGGAGGGAAGCGGCTAATGACCTAGAAGTCGATGCCGCTGTGGGTAAAAAAAAAAAAAAAAAAAAAAAAAATAATAATAATAATAATAATAATAATAATAATAATAATAATAATAATAATAATAATAATAATAATAATAATAATAATAATAATAATAATAATAATAATAATATAATAATAATAATAATAATAATAATAATAATAATAATAATAATAATAATAATAATAATAATAATAATAATAATAATAATAATAATAATAATAATAATAATAATAATAATAATAATAATAATAATAATAATAATAATAATAATAATAATAATAATAATAATAATAATAATAACATATAGCTTCGGAATAATCAAGTGGACAGACTCTGACTTAGAGCAGCTAAACAGAAACATAAGAGTCTTATTTACAAATCATAGAGCAAGACATCCCAAGAGTTCGATCGAAAGATTCTACTTGCCAAGATCCAAAGGGGGACGAGGCGTGATTGACCTTAAAGCAGCTAACCTGCGGAATATAGAAAACCTTAGGAGATTCTTTTATAGAAAGGGCGAAACAATCTGCATATCACAGAAATATAGCTTCAGCTGACTACAAAGTTCACACCACTGAACCTGTCGGATGAACAGTATGAACCTCTAACCCATGTGACCAACCGACGAACAATGGTATCATCAATGGAAGTCCAACAGCTTCATGGAAGACATCCAGCCATGCTCAGCTCAGAGTCACATTGATGCAGAAGCGTCACATGGATGGCTGAAGAGTGGGGAGCTATTTTCGGAAACTGAAGGTTTCATGATTGGCATTCAGATCAGGTGATACCAACCTTAACTATAGAAAATACATCATGAAAGAAGAAGGCATTGAAGATAGATGTCGCATATGCCATAACAAGTCGGAAACAATAGAGCATATCCTGACGAGCTGCACGTCCCCTAGCTTCCACTGAGTATCTGAAGCGGGCCACGACAACGTGGCTAAAATAGTTCACCAAGAAATTTGTTATGCTGCGAATATACTAACTGCCGCAACCCCATATTACAAGTACCAGCCGACGCCAGTTATAGAAACTACAGCCATAAAATATACTGGAATAGAAACAATTCAAACAGATCACACCATGGAATACAACAAACCAGATATCGTAGTTCAAGATAAAATTGAAGCAGTTACCTGCATAATTGACATTAGTGTGCCTGCCCCACATAACATAGCTGACAGCAGACAGAAAAGGTTCGCAAGTACTTACCATTAGCTGCAGAAGTAAAAACACTGTGGAATCAAGAAAAAGTTGAAGTCATCCCAATAGTGATCGGAGCCACAGGAGAAATACCTAAGAGTCTACATAAATATATTGAGAAACTAAATCTGCCGCAGAAACGATAACCTCTCACTTCAGAAAGCTGCTATCTTAGGTAGTTGTCATATAGCACGCAAGGTCCTGAAGTAGCCACATAGACAAAGAGAAACCAATAGTCACACTCAGACCTGCAGTATAATCCGCGTTTTGAGGATACCACCTGCAGTAGCAGAGAATAGCTAACATAATAAATAATAATAATAATAATATAATATAATAATAATAAAATAATAATAATAATATAATAATAATAATAATAATAATAATAATAATATAATAATAATAATAATAATAATAATAATAATAATAATAAAATAATAAATAATAATAATAATAAATAATAATAATAATAATAATATATAATAATAATAATAATAATAATAATAATAATAATAATAATAATAATATAATAATAATAATAATAATAATAAGAATAATAATAATATAAATAATAATAATAATAATAATAATAATAATACTAATAATAATAATAATACTACTAATATAATACTAACTACTCACTAATCATAATAATAATAATAATAATAATAATAATCCTACCCCGCAGGGGGTATCTACTTTTGACGCTGGATCTTTGATCCGGTTTCAAGGGAAGATCCATGGGGAGCGTCGCCCCCACGGCCCCAGGCAGGGAGTTCGGGGTTTGGTAGTCTTATTCATTCTGCCAAACCCTGGGCTTTTCCTTCCCCCTTTCTCCCATCCTCCTCCTTTCATTATATCCTGTGCAGCTGTCCGCTGCCCTCCCGACTTTCCTTGTCCTTTCCTTATCCCCATGCGTTGAGGCGGCGCGTGGGCTTCCTCTTAGCCTCCCGGGTGTTTGTGCCGTGCCCGGCGACCCGTAAGCTGGCCAATGGAATCCTGGTGGTTGAGCCCTACCAGTCAGGGGGGCAACACGCCACTTTGGTCCGGCGGTCAGTCTAGAAGGGCGGCCGCGCCTAGCCCAGCGTCGGTCAATCGGCTGTGCCATCCCGTCATAGGGCTGGTTGGGCGAGCCTCCACAGGTAGTAGAAGCCAGACGGGAATAGTTCGCTATGCTCGATGTATGGTGGAGCTACCTGTGGGGGACTATACCTCCTTTTCCTAGGATTAACGGTATCCCTGGGGTTATGTCCTAGCGGAAGGCGATTATGGGCATAACCTCCCATTGAGGCTCCGTGGAGGGTGTGGGAGCCGGGGAGGTGAAGACAAACACAAATACTATGGGAGACAAAGTAAAAACAAAAGGTGCGCCTACCTCCTCAAATGTAGGCAAAAACAGCGAAGGTGGAGCTACATGCAGAGCTACCACTGGACACAGTAATATTACCAAGGGGTCGGCTGGTCCTACCCCCAGATTCCTGGTAATAAAGAGAATAGATGGCGATAATTTCATGAAAGTTAGTCCATTTCTGATATCAAAGACGTTATGCGGCTTGATTGGAGAATCCAATTCTGTGAAGAAAATTAAAGCTGGGCTGCTAGTTGAAACAAGAACAGATGGTCAAACATATCGATTGTTGAAGGTAGAAAGTTTTGCTAGTTTTCCTGTTACCGTTGAACCACATGCCTCTCTGAATTCTAGCAGAGGCGTAATCTACTGCAGGGATTTATTAAACTGTTCCGAAGCTGAAATTATGGATGAGCTAAAATCTGAAGGAGTAATAAAGGTACAACGTATAAAAGTAAAGAAGGATAATGAACTACAAGACACTCCAGGCCACATATTACATTCAATTCTCCGAACATACCACAGAGACTTAGTTGCGCGATGTACAAACTACCTGTTCGTCAATATATCCCACCCCCTGTACGCTGTTTCAAATGTCAACGGTACGGCCATACCTCGATATCATGCCAAGAGGAACAAATCTGCATTTGCGGTAAGAAAATACACACTGGAAAATCTTGTGATCAGCCCATAAAGTGTGTGAACTGCAATGGTCCTCACGCAGCAAACTCCAAATTATGTCCAAGGTATAAGACAGAATCAGCTATACAGAAGTTATTACTATCGAGAAAATGAGTTATGCTGAAGCTAGAAGGAAGGTAGTAATCCCTACCCCGCAAGCAAAGTTTATCATATGCACAAGCATCTCAGAAGCGCCCAGACGATGAAATAATAGAGAAGATTATACCACGTCTAACAGCTATAATTAGAACGTCGATCTCGCAAGCCATAGAAAACAAAGCAGTATGCAGCAGCACACCCCAGCAATTTGTCGCTCCATTGCCAAAGATAAGTCATGGGATTGCGTCTAGAACTAGAAGTCAAATCAGATGCTTCTAAACTCGTCTAAAAGAAAAGCTACATCTCCTGTAGATGGATCGGAACTTTCTGATGAAAGTCTCACCTCGTCTCAGACTGACGATCCAGAAGCAAAAAAAGGGTACACGAGGCTGGAAAAAAGGCACAGACCTCGTAAAACAAATAAAACCGCACTGTTTCAGTCGGAACAACCCGTTCAGAGTGATGATACAGAGCGGTCCCAATCAACAGAACTCCGAAACTGAGCAGTTGTCGGAGACTGTGATACTTCTGTGATAAAATTAACTGTGATATTTTGATAAACTTATAATGTACTTTTCCATTTATTTACTTGTTTATTCATTAATTTATTTACTTATTTATTTGTCTATTTATATATAGTTATTTATTATTTAGTCCTAACCTATTTGCTTATTTATCTCTCATCATCTATATACATATGTAAATATCCTAATCTTCTCCTGAACCTTGCGTGTATAAAATAAATCTACTCTACTCATGCAATCCATCGTCCAGTGGAATATTAATGGGTGTGTTAATCACTATCCAGAACTGAAACTACTCATGCAGGAGAAAAAGCCCTTTTGTCTCTGTCTTCAAGAGACCCATTTCTCTCCAACCACGAAATTTCAGCTACGTGGGTTCAAATGTGTAAGAAAGGATGATACGCCGCAAATCCGTGCCAAGGGCGGCGTGGCAATATTTCTGGATGTAAATATCCCCTTTACAGAGGTCAACATCACATCCGAGCTTCAGGTTGTTGCTGTTCAACTAATAGTACCTATAAAATTGACCATATGCAACATATACCTACCCAATCAAAACTGGGAATATAATCAATTGAAAACCATATGTGAACAGCTTCCCAAACCCTTTCTCTCAGTAGGAGATTTTAACTCGCATAACCCTCTTTGGGGCTCACAAAAACTGGACACCAGAGGGAGGATAGTGGAAGATATAATTAACGAAGCAAATTTAATGGTGCTGAATAAAGGCGAAGGAACATTTCTTAACTCTAGGTCGTGCAACTACAGTGCGATAGACTTGGCACTTTGTAGCCCAAGTGTATCATATCTCTTTGATTGGGAAGTTTTAGATGATCACTCATCTGACCATCTCCCAATACTACTTAACTGTGCCGTACAAAATACAAGTGTTCCACTTGCAGAAAGGTGGAATGTTAAAAAGGCAAATTGGGAGAAATTTCGAGAACATTTGACTCCAATGCGAATAGGTGATTCAATATCTGAAACCGTCAGCAACGTTACTGACAGTATATTGAATGCTGCTTCCGAAAGCATACCTAAAGCAAACATACAACCTGGTAAACCTATAGTACCCTGGTGGGATCAACAAATTGAAGAAGCCATTAAGGCAAAAAGCATAACTACAATGTCTTCAAAAGAAACCCAACTCTGGCAAATATGATGAAATTCAAACAAGCCAGAGCTAGAGCACGGAGATTGATGTTAGCAGGCCAAAGAAATTCTTGGCAAAAATATGTATCTGACATCACTTCAGAGACCCCAAGCTCAGATGTATGGAAGAAAATCAGAACCATATCCGGCAAACACTTCGCCACACCTTCCCCAGTGTTACGAGTAGGAGGAAGAGAAGTTACGGGCGCTACAGAGATAGCCAACACGCTAGGCATGCACTTTGAAGAGATATGTTCCAATGACAACCTAAGCCTTGGGCCTATCAAAGGAAGCTAGAAATTGAAAGCAATGCACTTGACTTTAGTGAATCTAACATATCGGAATATAACAACAATTTCACTCTTACCGAATTCGAAAATGCTCTTCAAGAGACTAACGACTCTTCCGCTGGCCCGGACTCCGTCCACTATTGCATGATACGCAACCTACCTGTAACAGAAAAACAAGCAATATTAGAAATGTTAATAAAATTATGCAAAACTGGTACTTACCCAGATCAGTGGAGGAGAATCAATAGTGATACCTATTCCTAAGCAGACAAAGACTCAACAAAGCCTGGAGAGCTACAGACCATATCCCTGACCTGTTGTCTGAGCAAGATCCTAGAAAAAATGATACGTCGAAGATTAATGTGGTTATGGAGACACGAAACCTGCTAATAAATTCTCAGACAGTTTCAGGCAGCACAGATCATCCGTAGACCACCTTATCCACTTGGAAACAGCCATACAGAACAGTTTTGCCAACAGGAGCCATCTGATTGCTATCTCTTTTGACCTAGAAAAAGGCATACGATACCGCCTGGGGATATGGAGTCCTATCAACTCTCCATCAATGTGGAATTCGGGGACGGCTGCCCACATTCATTGCAAGCTTCCTTGCAAGCCGGTCGTTCAAGGTAAGGCTGGGGGACAAAGTATCTCATAGTACCTCAAGAAAACGGAATACCTCCGGGCTCCACCCTCAGCGTAATCTTGTTTGTAATAATGCAACAACTTACTCCAGTGCATCGATGAATCCATTGGAAAATGTATGTATGTGGATGATTTAACGATATATTACTCGGCAAAAAAGAAATAGTCACGATGGAAAAGTAAACTTCAAGAGACCATCGACAACCTGGTTGAAACTGCTAAAGAAATGGTCTTAATTTTTCTAGATCAAAAAACTACAGTAATCCATTTTTGTCGGCTAAGAACAGCACATAGGGAACCTGCATTAACCTTGGAAGGAAACTTAATCAAGTCAAAGAAACTCACCGGATCCTAGGAGTAATCTTTGATCGTAAACTTACGTGGAAACCACAAATCGAGTCATTACTGTTAGATGCAAGAAAGCCTTAACGTAATAAAATGCGTCTCCAGCATAAAATGGGCGCGGACAGAGATGTCCTACTGACGCTATACAAATCGCTGGTAATGTCAAAAATGGAATATGGTATTGTAGCTTTTGCCGCTGCCAGAAGATCGCATATACGTACCCTAGAAGTCATCCATCGTGAAGGATTAAGACTGTGCTTAGGTGCGTTTCGCATAGTCCATCCAGCCTCGATATATTGCGATGCGAATACTCCACCGCTTGATTTACGCATATCGCAGTTAATGCTTAACTATGGAATTAACATATGGGCTCAACCCTCTCACCCAAACCACGATATCATTTTCAACAATGATAGCAGTGAAGAATACGACAACCGACCTACTATTACAAGACCATTCGGAGTCAGACTATCAGAGATTATAAACGACCTTGGCGCTGTTATCCCTGACATATACACTAAGAAACCAAGTGAAACTCCACCATGGATCGACACCAGGACGAATATTGTACTAGACTGCGCTATTTATCCAAAAAACATAACATCGGGATATGTTTATCTACATAAATTCAATGAAATAATAAGTAGATATAATACACCTGAAGTCATCTACACAGACGGAGCGAAAAATGAAAGTGGCGTAGGATCAGCTTTCACCACCCTAACAGAAACCTTTAAGTATAGTCTAAATCCTATTACTTCCGTATATACAGCCGAATTGTATGCCATCTCGGCAGCCCTTAAATACTTGCTTGACAAAACAACCCGGTGTAGTACATACCTCATATGTACAGATTCAATGACCGCCCTTCAATCTATACGAAATCAACAAGCTAAGAATCCCCTCGTCCAGCAGGTATTAATCGGTGCCATAAACTAACGCATAATTCGAACACAGTCGTATTTATTTGGACTCCAGGGCATGTAAATATTCCTGGCAACGAAACTAGCAGATGCAGCAGCTCGTGACGCGACCCAAAATGGAACCCCCGTCAGCACCGTACTTCCTGAAGACCTAAAAGCCCATTTCAAGCTCCAGATACATCAACGTTGGCAAAATCAGTGGAGCCAAAGTATAAGTCGTTTGAGGATACTACAACCTACAATCGAGAAATGGAAATATCCGACAGGCCTAACTAGACGAGAACAAGTGTCTTACAAGAATAAAGATTGGACATACTCACCTAACTTCATCACATCTTCTCCTAGGGCGAAGCCCAATACTATGCGATGAATGCCACTGCACTCTTACCGTAGAACACATCATCCTGGAATGTCCAAAATTTAACTCTAAGCGCCTAGAATGTTTTATACCAAGAAACCTGAAAGAATGCTTTTCAAACGACAGAAACATAAACAACTTACTGAACTTCATGAAATCGACAAATATGCTACACAAAATCTAAACAAAAAATCTTCCAATAAAAAATCTTAAAATATTAGCTCCAACATAAATATCTCGAAAAATATGTATATGTGGGTATATGTGTATCAAGAAAACAATGAATCCTATATAAGAATGCATTGTTAACACAACTTACCTGAATTCTGTCTGGCACACCAAATATTTTACTAGGAACAGGACAAACTCAATGCTGTAGTAATTTACCTATGGTAAACACTCAGTTTTACCTCCATACTTGAATTAAGTAAATGGGATGATGCAATGAATTATTTATACTGTATGTGATTGTGTGCGTTCTATATATTATCCAACTCTCAGATCTATCCCTGAGATGCTAGGTTCAACTTAATGACCTCATGAGGCAGGAGGGAAGTGGCTAATGACCATAGCTGTCGATGCCACTGTGGGTTAAAAAAAAAAATAAATAAAATATAATAAAACAATTATATCGGCTAATAACCATAATGATCAAAAAAAAAATAATAATATAATATAATAATATAATAGTTATAATATATAATAATAATAATAATAAAATAATAATAATAATAATAATAATAATAATAATAATTATATATAATATAATAATAATAACCCGTGTGGAGTTGCTAGTCTCCCATGGGCGCCTCCCTGTGCGAATTGGGAAACGCTCTCCAGATATGGAGAGTACCGGGGAAATAAAATACCCGGGGTGGACAAAAACTAGCACCACCGCTCTATGGGTTAGCACCCTAGAACGTGTATATTTGAATGCTCTTAAAACAAGAAATAAGAGATACTCAGGCGGGCCGGCGCAGTAGGAGCCGGGTCGGAACCGTCTTGAAGATTTACCTGCAACCTACCGCGGCAGTGAACAAGGACCAACCAGATTACCAACCCAGTCGAGTACACCACCACCAATCGTACCAAGCCAAGATGTCGGTGTTGCTGGGCCATCAGAGCCCATGCCCACCACGTCACAAGGCACAGTTAGGCAAAGAACAATGTGGACAGAAGAAATCAATGCATTCATGGTTCGCTGCTATTACAGATTAACCCGACTAGAAACCGCTATTACAGATTAACCCGACTAGAAACCGCCAAAACTCCATACAGCCGAGAACTAAATAGATTGGTAACTGAAAAATTTCCAATGCTTCGTCATAAGACCAGCGAAGATCTATATTTATAAATAGACGCCTACCACCAAATATTATTACACAAATAAAGCGTGAAGTTGCGTCAGAACTATCTATAAATTTACCTGCTGATCTCCGCAATGCTGACGATGAACCAGTGGCCCCAGTACCGGAGGCCAACAGGCCACCCGCTGCTTCTGAGCTGGAATTCGAAAGGATTCATTTGCTTTATGATGGAGTGGACCCTATGATGGAACCTAGACTTTCCAAACTAATTTATAATAACAAGACTAACCTATATTGAGTGAAATCAACAAAATTCTGGATTCCAAAATAACAACTGATATACCCATCGAAAATCTACACAGCCTTATTTATAGTGGAGCAGCAACGGTGCTAACACTAAACAAGCAGAAAATCTCCACGGACACACAAATTAAAAATGTCTCAGTCACGCCAGCATGGCAGCGCCGAATTACTAATAAAATCGATAGTATCAGGCGGGACATAGGAATTCTGACACAAAATCAAAGCTTGAACCCCAGCAGCTCAGTCACTAAGAAAGCCAAGGCCATTCTTGGAAGGGAGCAAAGACTCGAAAACCCAACAGCAACAGAAATACTGGATCACCTTAAGCAAAAGCTCAAGGCTATGGCTAAAAAGCTCCGACGGTATAAGGAAAGTAACACAAGACGTCAACACAATAGTCAGTTTAGCAGGAGTGAAAGGAGCTTTTAAAAATTTAGAGTCAGAAGATCACGAGCCTCAAACCCTGAAAGAAAATAAGGTCCCCACACCAGAGGCCACGAAAACGTTTTGGGAATCAATCTGGGGGAACCCTGTGATTCACAACAATACCAGATGGCTGTTTGATGAGAAGAGGTCTACATCTAGCCTCCAGACTATGTTGGAATGGGAAGTAACAACCGACCAAGTAACCAAGGCTATAAACAAGACCTCGAATTGGAAGGCACCTGGACAGGATAAAATACAAAATTTTTGGTATAAACAATTCAAGGTCAGTCATCAACATCTAGCCAAATGTTATACTCACCTGCTGTCCAACCCTGAAGAACTACCACCATTCATGACCAGTGGTATCACTTATTTGTTACCAAAAACGAAGGTGTCCTCAAAAGATCCTTCCAAATATAGGCCGATCACCTGCCTTCCTACAATATATAAAATATTCACGTCCATCATATCGGAAAAGATATACAGCCACCTGGAAAGAAATAACCTGTTGGACGAAGAGCAGAAGGGTTGCCGAAAAGGATCCAGAGGGTGTAAAGAACAATTGATAATAGATACGGTCATCACATCTCACGCGAAACGCTCAAAAGGCTCTTTGCACACAGCGTATATAGACTACCAAAAAGCGTTTGATACCCAGCCTCATTCCTGGCTAACCGAGGTGTTACAGCTTTATAAAGTCGAGCCCCATGTACTGAATTTACTGAACTACGCTATGTCTCAGTGGAAAACCAGAATTGTTTTAAACACCAATCAAAAAAGTGTAGATGCAGGCACCATTAAAATAGAAAGGGGAATATTCCAAGGGGACGCATTAAGTCCGCTATGGTTCTGTCTGTCGCTACGACCCCTGACAACTATGTTGAATATCAAGAAAAAGTTGATGTCATCCCAATAGTGATCGGAGCCACAGGAGAAATACCTAAGAATCTACATAAATATATTGAGAAACTAAATCTACCGCAGAAACTATACCTCTCACTTCAGAAAGCTGCCATCTTAGGTAGTTATCATATAGCATGCAAGGTCCTGAATGTAGCCACATAGACAAAGAGAAACCAATAGTCACACTCAGACGCTTGCAGTATAATGCCGCGAATTATGTTTCTCAGCCACAACAAGGAGTTTTTAAAAAATATTTATTTTGTAGACATGAACGTGTTACAAGTTGGAATGATAATGAATTAAAATATAAAAAGAAAAATAGTTTTAATAAAGGTTTCTGCTGTCGTTGCGACTGGCGGTGTCGTCTTGCTGACGCCTCGGGTTCTTGACCTATAACGCCTCCCTCGCTAAGCTGAAAGTCCGTCCTCGGACTTTTGAAGTTTTAGGTTTTCCAAGTCGGCAATGGAAATTTTCGGCTTGAAGAAAAGCGTCTGGAGTCTTCTTCTTTTTCTTAAGACGAAGTAAATGCTCGCTGTGACGATGATGAGCATTAGGGTTGCCATGGACCAAGTTGTTGTAGACGTCACTGTAGGGCTTAGATGTAAGGGCTGTATGGCCGATAGCTGTGGTACATCTTTGAGTGGCTGCAACTCGTTGATCTGTAAGTTAAACTTTGGGCGGATCTTTATAGGGATGATATCAGGAACTTCGATTTGCTCTGAAGTAGTGCTGTAAATCTGTCCATTAATTTCGATTGGGCATGAAGAATAAACAATTGCTGCTTGACTAATATTTCGGTGAGTCTGGGAACATCTTTCAACGATTTGGATTGGCTCATTTGTACTGACGATCAGGTTTTTCTTTGTTTGGTGGATGACAGGCTGGGAAAGCTTGGCAGTGGTACAATTTTCTAAGCTGGGAAGCTGACATCTTGTGGTGGAAGCGGGTTGACATACGATTTTTGGTCCTACATCGGTGCATGTAGAATACCAGCGATTATCTCCATAGAAAGTTGCAGGAGGCAGTAGTACAATGTTTTCTTCATTATGTATGGGATAAATATGGTAAAGTCGGAAAGAGTGATCATTAAGGATCGGGATTTTGAAAAGGATGAGTAACTGAGTATTTGTGGTAATTAATGAACAACGTGAATTTTCGATAAGTTCAAAGGGATGTGAATTATCTGATAAAAGAGAATTTGATTTATATAAAGATTTTAGCTTTTCTTCTAAGTCAGTGATTTCGGAAAGTGAAAATAATTCTATGTTCGGTTGTTCTAGTGCAGATAGGTTTATACTTCTAATAAGCTTTAAAATGAATTGATTCAAACGATCAATATTACGAATTTCGCTTTGAAGAGTAATAAACTGCTGGAATTCATCTCTAAGAAAATTAATATCTTGTGTGATTCTCACTGTATTATTATTTATGGTTTCAATCAGAATATTATATCTTTTTATTGTTTCTGATGCATAACTTGTCGAATTATTAAGCACATTGATTATACGATTTTGTTTATTTTCGATACTGAAGATGTGCCTTTCCAAAAATATACGATCGTTTTCGTCAAGGTTGCCAGTCACTGATTTAATAAAAGTTCCCAAAAAGTTAGCAATTCCTCGCCTTTGACGGGGTCGGATTATTTTATGAAAATTGTCAAGTGTCTCGGAATAGAGATGGTTATATTGTTCAAATATTCGGTAGTTGGAAGTAGTGAGAGTCTTGTTAAGGAATAGGAAGTTAGTTAGAGTCATTTTAAGCGTTGCGTCGATAGCAGTTAGGTTAACAGTAATAATATGTCGGTGATAGTGATTTAACTCTTGAGCATGGCCTATCAGTTCACGATAGTATCCATTATTCGGGATCAGGTGCACTTGAAGGGCCAGGTTGTGGTTCGTCAGGATGACGATCCTGTAACAAGGGTATTTTCCTTAGACGTTTGATTTTTCTAGGATGGGTATTGGTGGGTCTATTTTTGGAAGTAACGGCCTGAATTTTGGTATTGCTACTAGAAGTAGTTTCGGCTGATACGTAAGGTGCAGATAATTTATTTCGGGGATTTTTCTGAATATATATGGTTTGGCCAGGTGCTGGAGCAGGAGTGATCTCGGGTAGTCTTTCATTGCGTTTATTTAAAATTGCTGTTTCTTTATCGTGGAGTTTTCGATAAAGAGAGTCAATGAAAGGTCGAAGTTCGTCTTTATGTCGTTGGTTATATTTTTCGTAGATAGGTAAGTCATTGTCAAAAAGTATTTCTTCTGCATATGGGCCATATAAGATAGAAAAAGGTGAATAACCTGTGGCGGAATGGATGGACTGATTGTAAATTAAAACACAATGTGTAACGAGATCAGTAAAATATTCTTTGGGGCGTTCGTCGTGCATAACACGGAGCTTTTCTGTAAAAGTAGAGTGAAATCTTTCGATAGGACTATTGGAATTCGGGTTGTTCACTGTCGTAAAGTGTAGCTCGATTTTGTGAAGATTTAAAAATTCTTTGAAGAGGTTATTTGAAAATTCGGTACCTTCGTCGCAGACTATTTTTCGAGGATAATTATGGTGGGAGAAATAGTGACGTAATTTGCTAAGGATTGTGGTATTCATTTTGTCAGGTATACTGTACACTTGGGCATACTTGGAAAAAGAGTCGATGATTGTGAGGAAAGTTTCTCGATTACAGGAAAATGTGTCAATATGAAGGATGTCGAAAGGCTTTTGTCCTAGAAGTGGACCTTTTAGGGGTAATTTATATGGGTGTCTCTCGTATTTATTACGAAGACAAATATCGCAGTGGTTAATATGCTCTGAAATTGTAGAACGCATATTAGGCCAGTAATAGTGTAATTTTAAATGACTAAGTGTTTCGAGAATACCATTGTGATTTTCCTTATGGTTTTTGGAGATGTCGTAATTGGTCTTCGGGTCTCTCTACATCTTGAACTCGTTTGGTGCAGAAGAATATTTGGATGTTTTGGTTATAAGTATTACGGACGAAGTCGGAAATATATTTTTGGATATCGGGATTGTCAGTCAGAATGTAGTATCGTTGATTGGGGGCTATAGTTTGATGGAGAGCAGTCTTGATGTCGGTTTTCCAGTCTTTTTCGGAAAGAGTGATGAGATATTCGTGTTTGGACTTGAACTTCAGACGGTTTTGTGTTAAAATCGGTGCCTAGATTTATTATGATCTGATTTGAAAAATGATTAATAGGTTCTTCTGAGAATGGGACGAGAGCAACGGGATTTTCATGAGAAGAATGTTGGGTTGATTGACCAGTTTCTTTTTCGAAAGATTGGTTAACGAAGTCATCTACATCAAAGTCGTCATCATCATCTGGAGGGTTGGCACACAGAGACTCGGATTCGTGCATATTTATTTCGATGCGACTTAAAGCATCGGCGACGACGTTTTCCTTTCCTTTCTTGTATTTAATTTCGAAATTGTACTCCTCAAGTTTGAGTTTCCATCGGACAAGACGAGAATTGGGTTCCTTAATTTTGTATAACCAGACTAAGGGGTTGTGATCTGTTTCCACAGTAAATTTTACACCATATACATAGGGGCGGAATACTTTGCAGGAATCGAGTATGGCAAGAAGTTCTTTTTCGATTGTAGAATAATTTTTCTCTGCTGAATTTAGGGTGCGAGAATAATAGGCTATCGGATTTCCTTTCTGTGTAAGGACAGAACCGATCGCTATGTTTGAAGCGTCTGTAGTGAGGGTAAATGGTAGGGAAAAATCAGGGTATTGGAGAATAGGGGAGTTACTGAGAGCGGATTTACATTTCTCGAAAGATTCAATATATCTGGGATCTTCGATATCGATTTTAGTACCTTTTCTAGTGCAGCGTGTCATGGGGTATGTGATTTTGGAAAAGTTCGGAATGAAACGTCGGTAGTATCCTACCAGACCAAGAAAGCTTTTGATTTCTTTCACCGTCTTGGGTATAGGAAAGTTTTCAATGGCTGAAATTTTTGAAGGATTTGGTTTTATGCCTTCAGGTGTTATGACGTGGCCTAGAAACGCTACTGACTTACTCAAGAATTCGGATTTATCGGGCTGAATCTTGAGGTTAACTTCTCGGAATTTTTGGAAAAT